GTATGCTACCTCTACAGGTGCTAAATCTGAGCGTAAAAGGAATTGAGTAGCTTGCATATAGCTAGTGAATGACAGGGCTTGGATTCAATTCTAAATCTGTAGTTGTCAAAATTTCATACGCTATACAACTTCTTGCCATATCTCAGTTGCAAATTACCTTTCTATCTATCAGGCAAGGAGACTTTGGAACCCAAGAAAGTGATCTCCTAAACACATATAATAGAAAAGCAGAAAACAGAAGCATATATCCTAGTAATTGTCTAGACCAGTCTTTCCTGTTGCAAATATAAACATGGAGTTAGAAACTAGAAAGAGATTGAGAGACTTTTTTTTCAAGATATATAATCTTTTATTTTCCTAATAGATCCTCTAGGCCAAGAACTGATGGTTTCCTGAGGTATGTCCACATTAGTATTACCTGTGGAGCCTTTACACCTGTTAGACTTCTGGGTTTTACCTCAAACTAAATAGATCAGCTCTCTGGAGGTGGAGATTGGACATCTGCAATTTTAAAGCCTCTCCAGATTGTTCTAATGTGCATTCAGGTTCGTGAACTACTATAAACAACTTGCAACTGAAAGAATGTCTGGAGACTATAAATAACCTGCCCCAAATCACAAGACTGGTGAATTCCATGCTCATGTGTGAAATAATTAGGCAAAGAAAATGTCTTGGATCTTGAAGTAGAATACTTTCCCGATGTATTTAAGAAGATTCCAGGTGAACTAACGAATGGTAATACCTCATAAGTAATATAATACTTTCCATCTAAACAGGTGGGATGCAAACCTCAAAACTAACAGGACATCAGAACCATCTGGGGAGGTTTTTAAAATAAAGATTCCTGGTCCCATCTCACACCCAGAGACTCAGAAGCTGTGTATTATGTATTATTAACAATCTTTCAAGTGATTTTTATGAAGATGATCCAGGAACTTTCAAAGACATATGCATGTTTGAGAATGCTAGTTTAGAACAGGATGGTTTACCAACTATAGCAGAAACAGAATAATTTTGGAAATGTATTAAAAGCATGAACCTTTTTTGGGTGGGAGGAAGGGAGCATGGATTATTTGAAGAAATTCTAATTGCATGGATCAGAGCCCAGAAATCGGTATTGTTAACCCTTCTGGTGATTCTAGGTCAGCTGACCTAGGAAACATGCTTTGAGTAAAACTGACAGAAAGCAACTGGTGTTGGAGACGTTATTTTTAAATAAAATATTTTAAAGTAAATCAAATGCATGAACATATGTTAACTATGAGTTTAAAAATAACTAAATGTTCTAATTGAACTCAGTCTAGCTTACTTAAAATTATGTTATTTTGTTGTTAGTTGGGGGTTGCCTTAGGTATTCCCAGCGACTCCCTAATTTTTTTGCATCAATAAATATCTTTATATTTTTGTAATATAATAAGAATTTGAATACAACAGAAACTCTAAAATATTTTAAAATAATACCCAAAATATGATTGATTTTTCTGCAGGCAATTAAAGTGTCAGTATGTAGTGAGTTCAAAAGACATAGACAACTAAGGGGAGGGAGGAAATACAGGAGGAATGTCAGTTAATTGAGCACTTTCTATATTCCAAGCTCCGGATTAGGTTCTTTTCACATGTTATTTAAAATAATCAGTCTCATACTTTAAATATCTACACAGATAAATGAGAAAAAAATCTATAATATTTGAAAAAATTATTTTGAGATGGTCATTGAACTTCGATTTGCAATTTCATGCATATATTAATTTTGATCTTAGATAAGAGTAAGAGTGCTAGAAGGAAACTTACAAGGAAGGTCCAGAGAGGTTAAGTGACCTTCTCAATATTAGTTTGTGGAACTAGCAACCTAGGGTAGCACTTATATTTCTGGTTTGGCAGGCTATCTTTTACTTAGGTTCTGCTGTTTTATAAAATACATATGAATATGGATACATTCAATATGAATTACTAAAGGGAGGAACACTTTGAATAGTAGTGAAGCATGCCCATTTGCAAAATGCTACAAAATCTCTAGATGAGAGACATCCAGAAAAAAAAACAAAATCACCTTAATTGACTGATTGAAATACCATGGAATGAAGTTAGGAGGGAAAGTATATTTCCCTCCATGTGGTTTGGTAATAAATATCTGCCCTTCACAGTGCTTGCACTTTATACTCTCCTTAAATACTAATTTAATTTTCTATTAGAAATAGTTGATGTGTTATTAATATTTGGGTAGAATGTTAACGTGATCCAAATCCTTTCTAATCTTTCTGGCAATGTGACTTTTGGGACTTTACTATGTGGTAAGGTAGGAAGGAGTTAAAATGCCTTCCTTCTGCATCCAGGCAACAAACTGACTAATAAAATAAATATAAAATGTCATCTCCAATTTGTACCAATAAACACTGTCACTACACTTAAAAAATATTTTACACAACCACTAATGACATTCATTTATTTACTCAACAGGTGTTTGATATGACCCTCCTGTACATTAGGCACTGTGCTTATCCTTTAGATTCTGATGCTTGTTATATTTAACAGCTTGATAGTAATTGTTAAGAAGTTTCCCAAAATGAGAACAGAGTTCAAGGGAACTCGAAGATTTGGTCAAACACAAAGTCATAAGATAAGGACCTAAAAATTGTGGTAACTTTAGTTCATGCAAAAAAATTTTTTTTCTAGGTGATTACCTTGAGACTCATGGAATCTAGTTTAAAAATAGGCTGACAAAAAATATCAGAGGCATAGTTTCCTATTCTTTTCATATTTAACCTCCAATTGGAGGCAATACTTTAAAGGCTCAGCAAATAATTCCTAAATACTCTGTTGCTTTACACATCAAATGCTCCGAGTTTTCTAAGCTCCTCACAATAAAAACATTTCTGCACAATCTAAGGTTATCAGGAGTTTTACAGTAAATATAAAAATTTTAAGTATATATTTGTTTCCCACTAAGAAGATTTTTTTCAGTTTCTATTTCGTGTAAGGATATACGGCTGTCATAATACATAAGACTGCCCTGACTCTCATGTCTTTCTTCTTCAGGGTGTAATTCTATGGATGTGGACAATTCAGTATATATTCTTACTAGTAAGGCCCATGATGATTAATATTTATATATGCTTACTAATATCTACAATAATTAATATTTAAATATTTAGAGTATTGAAGGTCATAGCTTTTTGATATTTGAAGTAAAACATTTTAAATGGTCTGTTCTCTTTTTGTATCCACAATTTGATTTCAGGCATAATTATTTGTTTTTATAATCAATAGCAAACCAATTTTGTTGAATCAATATATCTTTTCCATGAGTTCCTTACAAAGAATTGCAATCCACAGGATTAATTAAAGGAGTGACTGAGAACCATACACTTTCTTGAGGGCTGTATTTCACTTAAATGTAATGATAGACCATTTCCTTCTGCTAAACTCAACTCCTAAAATATTTAAACCAGAACGAATGCTAACAAATTTGATGTTTTATTCATTGTATGCCTTCAAAAGTCAAAGTTCTTTTACATGAGATATACCTTTCTACAGGCCCTAAATAATACCAATAAGACATTCACATTAATAAAAACTGAGACATAATTCCATATAGAGTAGGAATGTGATTGAAAACAAAGTGGAATTAAGAGAGATAGGATCCTTAAATCCTAGTCTTAACTATTGTCACTAGCTGTGGTGTGTCTGTGCATGTGTGTTTGTGTGTGTATGTGTGAATGTGTGTCTTGAATAAATATCTCTGGATCTAGTTAACTCATAAATAGAAAGAAAAGCAATTATAGTTTCTATATTATAGTAATTATAAACCACAAAATTATAATTCCTTCTGGCCCTAAAACTCATAGATCAATGGACCCTGAGCTGAAGGTTTCTGCTAAGTCATTTAATTCTTGCGCTTCAAATTTGGGAAACAGTCTTCTAGGATTTAGTAATGAGGTTTAAAGTCACTTAGTAGCACTGCCTTGACTTGGGTCATATTATCAGTGTATGATTATAGTCATAGTCCAACAAAGAGCCTGAATTTGTAGTCAACAATAGAGACACTGCCTTTAGGTCTTTCAGTTCTTTCAAATCATGAACATCCACTAGAGCCAAGGCAAATTGGAATGATATTGAATGATTTTCTGCCTTCAAAAAAAAGCAGGTGGGCTGGACACCTTGGCTCACACCTGCAATCCGAGCACTTTGGGAGGCTGAGGCAGGTGGATCACTTGAGGTCTGGAGTTCGAGACCAGCCTGGCCAACACGGTGAAACCCGTCTCCACTAAAAATACAAAAAGTTAGCCAGTCATGGTGGTACACACCTGTAATCCCAGCTACTCAGGAGGCTGATGAAGGACAATCACTTGAAGCCGGGAGGCCAAGGTTGCAGTGAGCCAAGATTGTGCCACTGCACTCCAGCCTTGGCAACAGAGCAAGACTTCATCACATACACACACAAAAGAAGCAGGTACTTTCTAAACGTGTAGCAGTGTATCCTCTTTAGATCCCTATACTTTTTATAGGGCAAAAAATTTGACAAAGTAAATGTAAATGTATGAATTTTACTGTCTTATTAATTAATTAAATATGGATGAAGATCTTTACTAATTAAGGAGGACATACAGATAAAAATATTATTTCTTAATGTATTGTTGTTAGAATGGATAATATGGAGAGAATAATATGTTGGGTCAAAAGAGTTGACAAAATGTGCAGCTCCGAAACATGTCAAATAGCTAAGCAGTTGGAGAAATTTGCTACTTTTCTTCCCCATTAAATCAGCATTGACCCATATAAACTTCATTGAGAGTAGCACATCTAAACAGTTTCAGTCTGAATTGAAAGGAAACTTTCATATGTCTGTCCACTTAACTGTAAAGTCATTTTAGGTAGTGATAGTACCTTGTTCATCTTATCTCTGTGGGTGTTAAGGCAGTGTCTGACACTGCATTCAATCTTGGCTTAAGAAATATACCTGAGAATCAAACAATCCTCTATTAATTACAGGAATATTCCTCTGCTCAAATATTTCTGGTGCTAGGGTGAACTTGTTCTCTCACAAGATAGTCTGGATAGCTGGACATATGTCCCTTTTACAGAATTCTATTTGAGTTTAGCTGATGCCAGCATGTACTGTAATAGGACTACTGGAATAAGTCACAAATAGGCCCAAATGAATGTCATCAGGACATTCTAATTTTTTGATGGATTTTGGCCTGAATGGAATAAAGACACTAAATATCTATTTTGCGGGATGCTTTTCTTGAAGAATCCTTAGTGTCCCATCTTTTTTTCACCTACTGTTTCTGCTTATATCCAGCTCTCCCCTTCTCTAGCCTTATGGAGGAGAATGCAGAAGGCAGCTGCAAGTTCAAGAATATACCCTTCAAAATTTTAATGTAATGGTAGGTTTACTTGGCTCTGTAAAGCCCTGAACACCATGGTCCTATGTGCTATGTATGAATAAGTACCAAAATGGAATATAAAAGTCATCCCCAATTAGTACTTCTAAAGTAGAACTGTCACTTCCTTGAAACAAACACTTTCCTATGAATTTAATGGCATTTATTGATTCATTCAACAAATATGCATTGAGATCCTACTCTGTGTTAACACTGTGTGTTTTCTATATAACCCCACTTTATTATATTTAACACCTTGATGATAATTGTATTTAGGCTCTCTTAAATGATAGAACTCAAATCAAATTATAGGGCTTATCATTGTGAGCCAAATCTTATATCCATATAATAAAATAAGACCATTTTAAATATTAGGGCTTCAGAAAAATATCTTAAATTCATAAGTAATTAAACATTGTTCATAAATGACACCATTTAGAAATATATTTATAGATATCATTTTTCTTTGTTATATGAGAAAATTATTTGTTTTAGTATGACAATAAATGTTATCAGTAACAGAAAGAGAACTGCCTTAGATTTGCTAGAGTATTAATGGGATTACTTCCCAGGTGCTGAAAATCACAACAAATTGGATATTTAAAAATACTTGAATAATTTAACTTAAGATCATGAGAATAAGTAGCTGTAAATCAGCTTAATGAAAATAAACGAGAAGTCTAATGGCTTACTAAACAGAACAGTTCTGCTTCATATCTTTCTTATTCACTCCATGAGTAATTCCACCTTCACACATGTGGTAAATAGGTAAAAAATAGACCAAATAGAGACAGTTTACACTTTGTTTGACTTTGGAGTCAAAGAGATTAGAATTCAATTGCAATATATTCTTCCTTTGTTATAGTATGCAAACTTGGAAGTAGACATTATAATACTTAGTGAAAAGTTTTCATACTTTAAGATGTTCATCTTCATTTCCCAAATAGATTAAACAGCTGATCGGAGTATAAACAATAATCAAATCACAAGCTTACATATGGACAACTACAAAAATGTGAAAAAACAATGTTTACAAATGATAATGAAGAATAAATTACTCTCCAGTGAACATAATTAGGTATATACAGGATAATTTAAAACGAAATGGAATGATTGCTCATGCTGAGCTTTTAAAAATCTCCACCAAAATATACATGTTACCCAAGAAAGGGTAATAAAAATAAATTGTGACACAAAAGTAGGATGTTGTATCTCTTCTAATCCTCAATACTTGGATGATATCTCATCAAAATATTTATCAAGTATGGAAGTAATACAAGATTTTAATTCCAAAACCATTTCTCTAAATTACCAACAGACTTATATTCTTGATGTCTTTTCACATGATCACAAGCCAAGCATGCATGTGATTCCCAAAATCGTGGAAGATTTACAGTGAAATCCTTCCTCCAGTTAAAGTAACTAAGGTATAACTTATTGTTTTTGTCGACTTCCTTCAGATACTTTGCTAGCTCGCTGGGAGAGTTATAATCTTCCACATGAATGAATGAATCTGCTGGAATATAATTCTCATAGTTTTCCCTAGATGGCCCCAGAACAACAGGTACAGAGCCAGCCAGAAAAGCATTGTAAAGCTTTTCTGTGATGTAATCCCTGTGGATTGAATTTTCAAAGGAAAGATAAAATTTACAAGTAGATATGGTAGGAATCAAATTTTTATCATTGACATATTCTCCAAATGCTTGCCCGTAAGTATGGATTTCAATACTTTTGCTTAGCTCATTGTAATACTTGACCCTGGCATGCTCAGGGTTCCAGTTACTCACAACCCAGCACACCAACTTCTCTTTGCTTGGCACTTCAAACACGAAGGGATTTGTGCTCACTGTCAAGAAGCCATAAGGCACTTGGATATCTGAGTCGCGGCGGTAAGTCAGAGTCAGGTTAAACAAGTGCTCAATGCCACTCTTTTGGGGAGTATGAGTTGGTGATTCCAAATTCATCCAAATCCATTTCTGGAAGGGTGGCCTAGCTTGCTGAGGTAAATTTGTCAGATCCCAACTGATGTCTCGGTGATGGATCAGAACTGCGTGAGATTTGTTGTACAGTGAACGGTCTGTTGTGAGATGGCATCCTTGGATGTTGAACATTGCTTGGCAGGATGTAAGGTCAAAGGTCTGCCCAAATGGCCATACCCACACCAGAATAGTAGTTTCATTAAAATAATCAGTTTTGGTGGAGAAGAAGTTTTTCATTTTCAGCACAGAGCTGGCTGATTCCATTGGACTGAAGATCCAGCTGTTGGTAGGCTTGATGTAAATGAGAAGACATGCCATGAAACAGCCCAGGATAATGCAGACAATTAAAAATGGGCGAAGAATTCCTTTGGATGTTGATGTCATAATTTTTTCTATGAGACAGAGAAAGACAGAAGGGTAAGTAGGGGCAGGAATGAAGAGATAATAATAAACATATTTGAGACATATTTAAAATCATAAATATGACATAAACAGGTAATAATCAACTGCATTTTCCTTTTCAGTGTTATCAAACCATTGAGAGAAACACTACTTTCCTCAAAGCCAAGAAACTGCTTTCAACAGAAAACTTCCCAAAAACTTCAAACCAAGTAACTTTCTTTTTCAATGCTATCCTTACTTGTTCTATTTTTATTTGCTTGTAGAAAAGTGGCACAACCCAGACAGTCATCCCCAAAGCCATGGCTAAAATTTGCATATTTTTTCTTACAATTTTCTTTGTTTACTTTTAATAAGTTGTTAGTACATCCAATATCTACCAAGATGTAATAATCAAATGTTCTATTTGGATTAGAACAGCATTCTCAAGTAGCATAGGGGCTTTAAAAAAGTTTTTCTTTATATTAAGATGAAATTTATATTACAAAAATAAACACAAATGAATTCCCAAAAAAGGGCTATATTTAATGAAGAACAATTTTGATCTCATGAATTTTAGCAGATCGTGGCTAAAAAGATAAGTCAAGTCTTCTTATTTTTTAAAGTGTCTTCAAGTTTTTTTCTTCTTCGGCATTCATGCCTCTTTATGGCTATGAACACAAAAATATATTTGCAAAAAATGTTTCTTGATAAAATTCTCACTGATCCTTTTAAATTCATATTGTTTCTCTTACAAAAATAATATGGCCTATCAATTTCAGACTCATTAAAGCACTTTGAAATTGTGATAGAAACTAGTATAGAAACATTAGATGTTTCCTTCTCAAAAAGGGGAGAAATTGTCCTCCATTTAGTTGCCAAAATTTATGTGAACATTAAAAAAAACACATTCTTTTCTATGTATTTTTTCTTAAAGCATATGACACTCTGAGTAACAAAGCTTGACTGTAAGTCCAAAGATTTTGAACATTGCATTCTAGAGCACTCTCAGAACTACATTATTGGAATCAAAGATGGCAGTTTGCTGTCAAAGTTAGCTTGAGTTGTACAGTCAATAAGAAAATGAAAACAAAAAGTATATTAAATATATCTAGGAGCTAAATTATTAACAAACCCTTGGAATACAGAGAAAATCAGGAAAGAATTAGGAAGGAAATCTCAGTTATTCTTAACTAAATGATATTGAAGTTTCTACATGCCAAATTTTGTTGTATATTTAAACAGAAGGAAATTTAAACAGTTAGGTTTGCACATTTCTCAGATTAATTAATTAATAGCCAACTCAAGAAGACAGACAAAGAATAATGGTTAAAAGGCTAAAGAAATAAGAAAGAAAAAATGTTAATGTAAGGACTAGAAATTTGAAATGAATAATAATGTTACAAGCTTTGCTATCTCTCCCTCTCCCCAGATGTAGGTGATGGGGAGGAAGGCAGCAAATCACACTGCCACGTGTGTGCCTATGCAACAATCTTGCATGTTCTTCACATGTACACCAAAACCTAAAATGCAATAAAATAAATGGGGAAAAAAATATTTCAAAAATAAAAAACAAACAAACAAGAAAAAAACAAGCTTTGAACATACTGAAACTTTATGCAAGAATAATGAAGAAAAATTAAATTCAAATTTAATATCAAAAATAGCAAATATTTTTTATTTAGCATAGATAAAAAATGAAATAACTATTTTGAGTAATTTTATGTTGAAAAATTTGAAATATGACTAAATAAATGGTGGTATTTTTGCACAAATACAGAAATACCAATGTTTGTAAAAGAAAATCATATTCTGATTCAACAGATAACTGTTAAAGAAATGGAATTAATAAACAACAACAACTAAAAACAAACATGAGGTCTAAGTGACTTTCCAATAGTATCAACAATTCAATGAATTGGAAATACTACCCACATTTTAAAAAAATCATTTTAGAAAATACAAAAATAAAGGAAGGTCATGCTATAAGGTCAATTATAATCTTGTTGCCCAAACAAGATACGACTTTAAAAAAAAGTCACTTGTGCTTATGAACACAGATGCAAAAATACAAAAATTTAGCAACAATGAGTATTGGAAATAGATCATGATGTGATTCAAGAGTAAGTTTGTTGAAGTATAGTTGCATTTGATCCTAGGTTTAAATTTAACTAATTGAACAATCTCTCAATTCCATATAGACTCCAGAATTTACAGATTGAAAAATCTTACTGGAAGAGTCTCTTTTCATTGGAAAAATACTAACTTTTAATAAGCATAATTTGACTATTGCAGCGGTTTCTTCCTTTGAGACAAATGCTTAATGGTTTTTAGAAACACTCTGATTGAAAGTTTTCTTAAATCCTTTTTAACTGAAAAGCAACGGCAAAAACTATTAAATAAATGATGTCCATTCAATATGACCAGGTTACAACTGTAATAGCCACCATTTAATAAATGCTCACCCTTAGACAGGCCTTGTGCCGAGTACTTTACACACATAATTTCCTTTAACACTTCTAGAACCCCTAAAAAGAACATCTTTTCTCATTCCTTCACAGATGAGGAAATTGCAGGCTGAGATACCAGTAAATAGCTTAACCACTGGATTGTGATCTTTCTTGCCTTCTATAATCTTCTTTTTACAAATACTACAAACATGAATAATCCATTTGCTTTTGGTATCTCAAGTTTTGTTGTCTTGATTTCCCTGGTCTCTACCTTTTATTCTGTAATTAAGAACTATTTATCTATGACTTAAATTTAGATTAATTTCTCTTAACAAGAAGAATATCTGACACACATATATATGGCACTTAGTCACTGATCTGAGCACTTATATTAACTTATACACACACACATACACACGCACACACACACAATTAACTTATTATATCCCCATTTTATTGATAAAGAAACCGGGGCCCAAAATGATTAAGTAACTTGTTCAAAGCCATACAGAGTTAATGGCACAGAATAATTTTCAAGCCCAGACCACCTGGCTTTAGAATCTGGACACTTGATGATTAATGTTTTAGATCACTGATTCCCCAGGTTGCAGCCAGAATATGCAATCATTTTAGTGATACCAGAATGTAAGCTTTGTGAGGGGCTTTGTTTTCTTCACTGCTGCATCCTTATCACCAGAATGTAGTAGGTGCTTAATAAATGCTGTATATCTCATATGAATGAATGGGTGGATTGCTGAGTCTCAACTATATACAGGTACTATGCTTATCAGGTAACCAGATACACAAAAATGAACGAAATGTGAATGAATGAATATGTACTTTGTTTCTTCCTCTGTGCATTTGCATGGAGCTCCCTATGAAATAAATCCCATTAAAATTGACATATGACTATCCCTACCACCAGATGAGCAAAATCTCCCAGTTTTGCCTCTCTTGCTTTGGCCTCAAGGTTAGCATCTACCCAGAACATTTTAATTCCATGTCTCCATCTCTCTCTCTCTCTCTCTCTCCCTCTCTCAGCCAAATAAGGAGGAATTGGTCACTGGGAAGAAACAGTGCTCCTTCTACTGCGTGGCTTCCAATTTTCATGCTTCCTGGATATTTTGTATTACTTGAGTTTCTTGTTAACTCTCTGCACACCTCCTCCCCTCAATTTTTTTTTTTTTTTTTTTTTGCTGTCAGGGTCAGTTACTAAATAATAGGAGTAGTTACTCAGTAACCCCTACTTTATACAGAATTATCAAAAAAGTTTGCCTCTTGGGGCCAAATTGACATCTCCTTGACAGAATCCTTTTCATCAATTCCTCATAACTAAAGTTCAGTTGGATACTGAACATGTCTTGTACTGCTAATCAATACAACCTATTTTAAAAATGCCTGCAGCACTGTTACTATAGCTCACCAGAGATAGCAATAAACTTATAGCACAAAGCAAATTGTAACAGTAAATAGGATAATTAAACCTTTTCAATTATTTTTAGTAGTTTCAAGTACTATGAAAGAATGTAACTTAAAGACTTTACCATCAAAAATACGGAATCTTGGCTAAAAGTACTGCTTGACAAGACTTGATATGCATGATTCAATTTTCTGTTAGGAGATTACCTCCAGTCATTCTTTAGGAACACTCTGCTGAATGCTAAAGAATGGAAGGTAGCTTGAAATAGAAAAACATTAGAGCTGTAATTCTCAAACCACAAATACACATCAAGGTATCAGGGAGACAAATGTGAAACTAAGGAGAGCAGGAGGCTCCCTCAAGGAGATGAAGTCCTACTCTAAGTTTTGTTTCTTTAGGGAGTTAGGTGTTGAATCCTTATTTTAAATGGAAAGAAACAGGAGCAGGCTATAGAACCAGATTCGATACTTGCTTGAAACGTGGAGCTGGAACAGGATAGCTGGGCTTGTAACTTGTCCCTTGGTGCATTATTCCCAGATTGCAGCCACTACCTACCTCTTCAAACCATCTCCTCTATCTCGCATTTGCAGGGTGGTGGGGTTGGAAGTGATTTTCTCTTATGCCATTAGGAGTGGTTGGATCATCACATTTGACGATCCCTGTATAGTACACTTAGTATTAGTGTATATGTGTGTGTATGTGTGAACAGTCTAAACATTCCTAATAAGGCTTTTTGATAGCTGATACAAATATGTGAAATACATAGACCATTTGAACAGAACTTTAGATCAGCCTGAGGACCCTTCAAGGTAAATTCACACCAACTCCAAAGACCAGAAATGAGTCACTGACAAATTGAAGGGTGAATGAAGGTTAGCAAAGGCCTTAGAAGCAGCCTCAGAAACAAAGTTTCTGTCTTTCTTCTGCCCTCCTGTCTGTCATCACTCATTATCTCCTTAAACAAGCAGTAGAAACTAGAATTCCTCTTTCCCAAGGCACTCATAGAAACAAGAACCCCTTTCCCCCAAGGCCAGCTATAAAACCTAAAAATATTACTACAATTTTCACCCATCTTTCTGTGTAAGAACTGGCCATGAAGAAATTTTCTGACCTACCTTGTTTGATTTTAGGTTATACATAAGAC